AAGACAGACGGGGGAAAAACAAGATTTCACAAGACACACCACACACAGAAAATACTAATGCTGAGTAGTCTACCAAAAACCCATTTTTACAACATAGGAATAAATACCTATCACACTTAGAATAAGGTAAACGCCCCACGAGACTTAAAATTCTTCATATGACAAATTATATAAAATGAATAAAACTCACATAAAATTGCTCAAATCACCTACAAAGGTTAAGCTTTGGGGGGGAAGCAGGGTGGTGGGTGCACACTGTGTCATGGCAATAAAGAAAAATTCTTGTCACATGGAAGCCAGCCTAAGAGGTGGATGGTCAGTGAAGTGAGAAAGAACACCAGCTCAGGACCCACAGCGCCTGTGGACAACCCACTTAACGGCAGTGCTCCTGTACGAAGAAGATTAAGTTGGGTTGAATGATCGAGGCCTATGAACTCTGAAAAATAAAAGGGTGTTTCTGGAAGAGATTTTAAAAATTAAACCCTGAGATATCGCACACATATGAAAGGTAAATGGACAAAGAGAAGTCGTATAAAAGGAAGTGTATATACAGAATTTTAAAGTAAATTGCATAAGAAAATCTGAGTAGGATGTGATCCAAAAAGGTAGTATATTCTTTCAAATCCACTTTTAAATTTGGGCTACACATATTATTAATCATGTATGTGTGTGTTTTAATTAATATTTCATATACATACATATATATATATGACAGAGTCCTAGTAATGTTTCTGTGAGTCCCCCGCACTTACATGCCAGGATCGTTGTGGCATAGGTCAAACTCCAAAAACAACCTCACTGCCACCCAGTTGACACTGACTCGTAGCTCCCTATAGGACAAAGCAGCAGCCTCTGGGGGTTCTTGGGACTGTCGCTGTTTACTGTGGCAGAAAGCCTCCCCTTCCACCTGTGGAGTGGCTAGTGGGTTTGAACCCCAGACTAACAGCCCACCTCGTGACCCACCACCTATGCCAGCAGGGTCTTTGTGTCACAGAATAGAAAGCAAGCAGCCCCCCACCGTTGTGCTCCTACTCACATTTTCAGACATCAACTATGGTGGATGATTTAAGTAAATCTTGCCGTATTTACTTTACATCACTTGCTGATACCCAGACCACTTAAAATATTCTCAATTGACAAATGAAATCAGCAACAATTTTCAAAGTCTGAAATTGCCTGTGCTCAGTGACTAACATTACAATGTCATAAACTATTTATACCTTGAATTTCCTTTCCCACGCACACTAACAAAGGAAAGGAGCTCACAAAACAACAGGAGTCTTTATAAATTGAGAAGCTACTTACGGCCGGCAGCTTTTCACGAGTGTTTTGAGAACATTTTCTACAGAACTGGAGGGAAAAGCCATTTGATCAATTAGTTTTAGTATATTTTAAGAACACATATAATAAATAATAATGATCTCTGAGATATGTTCATATATTGGCTTTATTTGTGAACATGAAATTAATCTTTCTTTCTCATACAGACTGAACTGCAAGGATTAACTAACTACCTACACTCCTTAAACTTTCCCTCACTTTGGCTTATTTCTCTGCTTGCTACAAAATAAAAATAAATGGAGAAATAATGTTATACTTTAAGGGGCCTTTTTTCAATCTTTACAAAGCAGGCAGTAATAACATCACATTTATCAACACTTTAGTAAGACTATTCAACAGCTTAAAATGTCAACTACTCATTTTGTTAAAGTGCTCCTTAATAAAAATGCAAACAGCAAACAACTTTTATTAAACAACTGTCAGAAATCAGTTTTCTTTAATCGATTAATACAATAACGCTCCAAGTACTTTATTTATAGTGACACTTTTCATCAAAAAGAGCAGCAGCAGCCATTTTTAAAAAATTAGTTGAATAGCTCAATATTAAAAACTATAATTTATTTTCCTGCTTATAGGTGCCTCAAATGAATACCTGAGATGGACATACACTTTACATATACATTTATAGCTGATTATAAATAATGTAGTATGACACTTGTTTTAATGAAATAGATTTCAATAATCCAAACACAAATGACTAGTAATGGAATTATTTTTCAAATTAGCTAGATTTGGCAAATGTAAACAAAAAAGCATTAAGTAATTCTTATCTGGAATTTTAAAATAAATTTGTCACTATTTACAATGTGGTGTGTATATGTGAAAACAATACAAAACCCCAAATATCAAAAGAAAAAATTATGTAGGGAAGGAGTTATTTCCACCTGGCACTTTTTTTTACTTAGGTTTCTAGAAATTTGTAAACTCGGAAGTCTACTCCACTTCTCTGAAAGCCTAAGAACTGATCTGTGAAGAACCCCCACCGTGTCACAACAAAGCACACTCAGCACAGGTCATCAGAGCATTCTACAGCGAGGACCAAACACTGAAGCCCAGGACTTAGAGCTCTAGGAATCCTCTTTCAACAACTCATCAGCTAAGTACGACTTCGAAAACACAAAAGGATCACGAAGTATTTCCTGTGACTGATAATCAGAGTGAAGTTCCACTTATGCTCTAAAATTGTTAGGCAACTCAGAAACACATATATAGTTTAAATAATATCCAAGTTTGTCCTGTTAGAAAGAGCAAACTTGTCTCCAACACATTTACAGGTCCCTGAAAACTACTGTAATATTTACTCCTGGGCATTTCTGCAGCACTTATAACAAGACTATACATCCACATATACATATTTACCCACGTCCATTTATTAACAATCATCAACATATTCTAGCAAAGCAACAAAGAACAATCTAACACAGGTTGGATCTTCTTTAAACAGCCTCATTAAGAAACAAATCATGTCTGGATTAGCTCCTAATAAAATGGTTGGAAAAAAAATGAAACATGTCCTAGAATAGGCAGGCTTATAAGCAGCATCTAGTTCAAAAGCAAGCAATAGACACCACCATCCCCCCCCCCCCAAAAAAAAAAAACCCATTGTCACTGAATTAATTCTAACTTGGATGGACCCTGCATAAGGTTTCTGAAACTGTAAGCCTTTAGGGAGCAGACAGCCTCATCTTTCTCCCTTGAAGTAGCTGATGGGTTTGAACCATTGGCCTTAGAGTAGATTAGCAGCCCAATGCCTAACCCACAGCACTGCCAGGACTCCTTAAACTAAACAATAGACTGACTTTGATGAACTGTTTTAAAAGGGATTTCTAAAAGGGCACGCTGTCCAAGGGAAGAAGCAGAAGATGCACACTTTTTGCCAGGTACTAACACTGTATTCCTATTTTGCTGACTCGGTGGCAGAGTGCCGACAGAAATCCTAATGTTTCCACTGAGAGGTTTCCTTTTCGACCATCAAACTTTTAAATAGTGCTTCCAGAAAGCAAATCATAAGGATGACATAGCTAGATGGTTTCTCTGGTAATCTAGGGCCCTTCACTCTTCAGAAGAACAGGAGACTTGTTTTGGTACCTGGGAGCTATCACTTTACCCACTGGAGGACTCATCTAAATAAAATCAATCATAACTCCAACCTTACATATCAGGCCTGTACCATTGGACTCATGCTCTTTATCCAAAAAGGGATACAATCTCTCTAACCTGTGATATCTGTATATTGACCTTTTGTGATTCTTGTAATCTCTCAAGATGAAGGGAACAATGTTTCTGTTTAAAAATAAAATAGAAGGTTAAGGCTAGATGCTACTAGACTACATATTTCACTAATTTTTAGAGGGAATGAAATAATCACTACATACTTTTCCATTTGTTGGAATGTGATTTAACACTTTGAAATAGTTATTTCCACCCCCCTCTTTCGTCAAAAAGGATTTAGAGTGGTTAGATCTTTGTGGCTGTGTTGTCTCATATCCTACTTCCTTTTAGAAGTGACATGTTAAGTTGAAAACAAGGCACACTCGCATGTAAGAGTTTCTATAGTGTTGCCTTACAACCAGACAGGTCTGGATTTGAATACCAGAGCTTTTACTGACTCCAAACCAAACTCACCGTGGAGTCATGGGGTCATTTCCAACTCAGAGCAAGCCTATAGATCAGGGGAGAGCTGCTCCTGTGGGTTTCCGAAACGGTAACTCTTTAGGGCAGTAGAAAGTCTTTCCTGAGGAGCGACTAGTGGTTTTGAACTGCTGACACTGTCGATCGCAGCCCAACACATCACCACTATGCCATTAGGGCTCTTGTAAGGCAGTATCATGGCCTCAAGTTTTTCCCACTGTAAGAGTAATAATACCTACCTCTCATAAGGCTATTATCAAAATTGACTGAGATAGTAGGTAAAAAAGCAGAGATAGCTGGCCCAGAATCAAGCAGAACAAAGGTTAACTATAATCCTTGTTTCATCAAGCCAAAATAAATGCAATTATACTCATGATTGCATTACAAATTAAATTATGTGCTTACTTTTACATTTAAACTCACGACTATCTTTGAAGAACTATTATGATTTAGGAATCACATCAAAATAGGAAACGCCTCTCACAACTCCCACCTCATTTATGATGATGGCTAAAAGCATCAGCATGCCAAATCACTGTCTCAGGATTAACCAAGCACTGGGTGGATTTCCCTCTCTGGGCCTCAATTTCCTTAGGATAACATTAATAAACGCAATGCCAAAGGTGCAGTGGCCAGAGGTCTAAGGAAAGCCTTGGGCCCCTGACTACTGAGAAATTGACCTTATATAAAATTTTTTAAAACTTAGGTTTCTGTGTCTCCTACTTTCTTGACAGAACTAATTTGTCAGGGCAAAAGTGAATTCTAAATCAGAGAAATGTTCAGCCAATGATATATAGGCAACACTCGGGGTTCCTATGAGTACCATTCGATCCAGCTTTAGTCAGAAGGGATGCAGAAGGCTCTTATTCAGCCTTACTTGAGGGCAGGTGGGGCCCTGGCGGCCCCGTGGGCTAAGCATTGGGCTGCTAATCAAAAGGCTGGTGCAGGAATCCATAGGAGACAGAAGAAACTGCTGCTACAAGAATGGACAGCCGCTCCTCTCTGGCCTAGGACTAGTTTGCGGCAAGATGGCCAAACGCACCAAGGTCGGGATTGTGGGCAAATACGAGACCCGTTACGGTGCCTCCCTCAGGAAAATGGTGAAGAAAATTGAAATCAGTCAACATGGCAAGTACACTTGCTCCTTCTGCGGCAAAACCAAGATGAAGAGATGTGCTGTGGGCATCTGGCACTGCCATTCCTGCATGAAGACAGTAGCTGTTGGGGCCTGGACCTACAATACCACCTCTGCTGTCAGAGTAAAGTCTGCCATCAGAAGACTGAAGGAATTGAAAGGCCAGTAGAAGCTCCACTATCAAATCTCTCTTGGCCTGTAATAAGTGGGTTAATTTATGTAATGATTAAAAAAACAAACAAACAAAACAAGAATGGACAGCCTCAGAAATCCCAGGGGCCAGTCCTATAATGTCCTATATGGTCACTATGACCCTGGGAACTGCCTGTATTCAAGACTCGGTTGAAGTGAACTGGAAGTACTTTCAGCTTCCCCCAACCATGTTTGAGCTGGAATTTTACATCAGAAGAATTCTGTTTGCTGGCGGCTGAACATGATAGCGGGACAAGAGGAAAGTAAAAGGAAATGAAGGTCTAAATACAGGCATGTGCATATGTAAATGTATTTACATATGACGATGGGGAAACAGATCTATATGCATATTTTTATAGGTTTAGTATTAAGGTAGCAGACATGGAGCCCCTACTCAAGTACTCCCTCAATGCAAGAACACTTTGTTCTATTAACCTGGCATTCCATTATGCTCACTTTCCCAACATGATTGCTGAAGACAAAATGAGTGCATAAGCAAATGTGGTGAAGAGAGCTGATGGTGCCTGGCTATCAAAAGATATAGCGTCTGGGGTCTTAAAGACTTGAAGATAATCAAGCAGCCATCTAGCTGAGAAGCAACAAAGCCCACATAGAAGAAGCACAGCAGCCTGTGTGTGTGAGATCATGAGGTGCTGATGGGATCAGGTATCAGGCATCAAAGACCCAAAACAAAAAATCCTATGGATGTGAATGAGGGTGGAGTGCAGAGTGGAGACCCGAAGCCCATCTGTAGACAACTGGACCCCCTCACAGAAGGGTCGTGGGGGAGGAGACAAGCCAGTCAAGGTGCAGCATAGCAACGATGAAACATACAACTTTCCTTTAGTTCTTTAATGTTTCCTTCCCCCCACTATCATGATCTCAGTTCTGCCTTACAAATCTAGCTAGACCAGAGGTTGTACAGTGGTATAGATAAGAGCTGGATACACAGGGAATCCAGGACAGATAAACCCTTCAGGGCCAATAACAAGAGTAGCGATACCAGGCAGGTAAGGGGAAGGTGGGGGAGAAAGAGGGAACCAATCACAATGATCTATATAAAACCCCCTCCCTGGGGGACGGAAAAGGGGAGAAGGGAGACATTGGACAGTGAAAAAATATTAATAATTGATAAATTATCAAGGGTTTGTAAGGGAGGGGAATAAATGAGCTGATACCAAGGGCTCAAGTAGAAAGAAAATGTTTTGAGAATGATGATGGCAACAAATGTACAAATGTGCTTGACAGAATGGATGTATGTATGGATTGTGATAGAGTTGTACAAGCCCCCAATAAGATTATTTTAAAAAAAGAAGAAATTCCATTTGCTTTTATATAAATAAACTGGAACTATGGCTTTGGTATTTTCTGTAAACATCTGCCCTAATCTGCATGCAATGCAACAGTCACTGGTTAACCAGTTGTTGGTTTCCCTTAAGTAGGTGCCAGAACCACATGATAATATCATCAGATGCGGAAAAAGCATTCGACAACATCTAACACCCACCCATTCTTGTTTAAGACACTCAAAAAGACAGGAATGGAAGGAAAATTCCTCAAGATAATACAAGCTATATATGAAAAACCAAGAGGCAACGTAGTAGTCAATGGAGAAAAGGACAGTTACAATCCCACTGAAAAAGGGGACCAGACAAGGATGTCCCTTGTCCCCACTCTTATTTACCATGGTACTGGAGGTCCTAGCGAATAGCATAAAGCAAAGACATCAAAGGTATTCATCTGGGGAAGGAAGAGGTGAAACTATTGTTATGCGCAGATGAAATGGTTTTATATATAGAAAACCCTAAAAGCTCCACAAGGGGAGGGCTGGAAGCAATAAGGGGATGTTTCACAGTTGCACCTAACAAGATCAACAAACGAAAGTCTATCGGACTGCTATACACATCGGACAAGACCACGGAAAATGGGATCAAAAAGGTAGTACCCTTCACAAAAGCCAAGCACAAATGGAAATATCTAGGGATACACCTGACTGAAAAACCAAAATATTTGTACAAGGAAAACTACACTATTATAAGAAACCAAGAGTGAGCTATACAAATGGAAGAATATCCTATGCTCGTGCATCGGGAGACTCAATATAGTAAAGATGCCACTTCTTCACAAGGCACTATATAAGTTTAATGCTATCCCGATACAAATACCATCATTTTTCTTCAAAGAATTGGAGAAACTGACGACCAACTTCATATGGAGAGGAAAGAAGCCCAGAATCAGCAGGGAACTCGTCAAGAAGAAGGACGAAGTTGGAGAGCTTGCTTTACCTGACTTGAGCACATATTACACAGCCACAGTGGTCAAGACAGCATGGAAATGGTATAGTGACAGATACTCAGCCCAATGGATAAGAACTGAAAACTCCAAAATAAATTCATCAGCATAGAGACAACTGATCTCTGATAAGGGCCCAAAAAATATCAAATGGGAAGCGGATGCCTTCTTTAGCAAGTGGCGCTGGAAAAAAATGGGTATCTACCTGTAGAAAAATGAAGCAAGACCCTTACCTCACTCAATGCACAAGAATAAACTCAAGGTGGATCACAGACCTCAAGGTAAAACCCCAAACTATTAGGGCCATCAATGAGGGAACTTGAACAAAATTGAGAACTTTGGCACAGGGAACAGATAGGCTATTGGGAACAGGAAACAACACAAACACAGAAGAGGCAAAAATTGACAAGTGGGATATACTGAAGATAAAACACCTGTGTACATTAAAAGAATTCACCAAGAGAGTAATAAGGGGGCCCAAAGATTGGGAAAACATCTTTAGCAATGACACATCAGACAAAGGCCTTATTACTAAAATCTACAATACTCTGCTAGCTTACAATAAGAAAAAAACTAGTTGCCCACTGAGGAGATGGGTAAAGGACCTGAAAAGAAGTTTCACAAGGGCAGAAATCCAAATGGCCAATAAGCTTATGAGAAAATGTTCCTGATCATGAGCCATATGAGAAATGCAAATTAAAACAACTATGAGATACCATCTAACACCCTAAAAGATAGCCCAATTCAAAAAATCAGAAAGTAACAAGTGTTGGAGGGGCTGTGCTGAGATAGGAACTCTCTTCCACTACTGGTGTATCTGTACGTATGTACAGCCACTACAGAAATCAATCTGGCGATATCTAAAACAGATGTCAATTGAGCTACCATATGACCTAGCAATCCCCCTACTGGGCAGATACCCAGAAGAGACAAGAAACAAACCATCGCCAGCATCTACGCGCCAATGTTCATCATGGTGCAGTTCACAATCAAAAGGAATTGGAAACAATCCAAATTTCCATCAATGGACAAATGGACTAAGAAACTGTGGTACATACATACAATGGAGTACTATGCATCCCTGAAAAAAAGTAATGAAGGCATGAAACACATCATTGCATAGTAAGAATTGGAGGCAGTTATGCTAAGTGAAGTAAACCAAGCGCAAAAGGACAAGTACAACATAAGTCCACTGAGCTAAGCTTAAAAAGCGGAAAGGGCATAGGGGAAAAGCCACTATATGCATACATTCCTGGGGTGAGGTCCAGGTACTACAGAGAGAGGCTAGGCCCAATTCAGTGTTACATATGGCAGCCAACTAAAAAGGAGGGAAAAAGAAAGAATGGAAGAAAGAAAGAAAAGACATGGGTAGCAGGGGAACAGGGCTCTAACCCACCCAAGGGGGCGGGGGTATTGTTTATATCTCCACAGGAGAGGGAGAGAAGGACCAGACTTCAACCCAGTGCGCCAAGACGTGAATGCAACACACTGAAGCAGTGAACCAATATAGAGGTCTCAGGGGAGGCCCCAATCTCAGCGACATGACCCCCCCCCACAAGAAGAATGCACTACAGAGGACAGCACTGAAGCTACAGCTGGAGAGAGGGATGCCGTCTGATCAGAGCCCACGGGAGCAAACAGAGAGACAGTGGAACACATCCTGACCCACCAAGCCCCGAGGAAGATATTCCTGCTCAGAGCAGCCAATGCACAGAGAGGATCTAGGGCCAGCTCTACCATGAGACATGATGTCCCTCACTGACCCACAGCGCTATGAGGGACAACAATGGAGACACAGTACGGGAACTGTGCCCAATCTGACACCACCACACTGGGAGCAAAACACTAAAGGCCTGCAACAGAGCAGCAAGGGAAGCAAAGCAATGAGGCGCCCGCCCCCGCCCCCCGAGGAAACCCAAGAGTAGACTTTGGGGCCAGGGGATGGCACCTCATCAGACTCGTCCAGAAAACTCTCATAAAGGTAAACAAACAGACCAGCAACTAGGTCTTTATAGGCTTTTCTTTTTTGTTGATTTTTTATTGTTGTTGTTTTGTTTTTGTGCTTATTATTGTTTTTGCATGTCTCGGGATAAGCAATCTGGAGGAGAAAACAATAGGACTGATGGTTGGGGGGGGGGG